GCTTCGGTCAGCCGGGGTGCGAGAGCATCCTTGGACTCGGAGTCGCGTGCAGTGTAGGCGATGACAGATGGCTGGGACGGAGGGCTTTCTCTGGACCAGAGGCCTAGAGTTTTCCCTCCGATGGGGCTAGTTCGTTCTTGGGGAAGACGTCCACCCACATCCACCCTCTGCTTCTCATTGTAATCTCGCCACGTTCACTCTTAAGGTGAGAAGCCCATTGCCCACCGCGGCGCCGTAAATAACAGGTGTTCTGACTGGTCTAACCTGCTGGTGGGAAAACGAAGTGTTGCGCTCCTGAGTAGCAGGGAAGATGGAGAGGGACGTTCTGGAGCCTCCTGAAGCCCCAGAACTGCTAAGACGCCCGCTCCTCACTCTATCTCTCAGCCTGAATTCCTCACTCTATCCCCCAGCCTGAACCATAGGCCGGCCTCTGCTGGCTAGAGGTCTGGCTGTGTCTGCAACCCAGGGCTAGCCCCCAGGTGGGGCGGACAGGGCCAGCATAGTTTGGGTTCGACCCTCCTTGGCGGTAATCCATTGGGAGCGGCCATGGTTGGGATCATGGCCTGTTGGTTGTTGGCCTGATAGAGGGTCCGTGGGTAAGGCCTGAAGAGGGGCTCTCTGGAGCAGGGGGTTTTCTAGACTGTTCAGGTATGAAGTAGGCCCCTTTAAATAAATAAATAAATAGTTGACACCTTCCTCACACCACGCCTTTGTGTAAATGACAAGAAGGCATCTAATTGCTCAAGATGCTGTCAGCTTATTGAGGTCTGGGCAGTCTCCAGAGGAAGTAGAGGAAGTAGCTGTCCCCAGGGAGGAAAATACAAACTAATGCACGCCCCTCCCTCTGTCTCAGGGCCCTCTCCTTAAACCAAGACACAAAAAGGAGTCTGCAAGTGTTGGAAAGGGAGCACTCGGGGGTCCCCAATCAGATGGTCTTTAGTGGTGGTCTCCCAGGGTGGGGGTGGGGGGGTTGTGTGTGCTGCTGCAGAGAGCATAGAGCCCTACAACCTGGGTATGACTCGTGGGAGGCTCACACCACCAGTGGCATTCGGGCGAGTGACTTCATGGGCACCTCCTGTTTGTCTGTGACGCGAAGGCATGGAGGAGGTTAGAATGCACGCTACTTGCCGCGGGACCTGCTGAGCGATATATGACTTGCTCCCCAGTGGGGCAGCCTGAGTAGGCTGGAACCTGGCTGGACTCCCAGCTTCCTCCTGCTGAGTAAGAGGCCCTCTGGGGCTAATCTTCAAGTGCACACTGTGGATGGAGATCAGTCAGGGGCACAACTCAGAACGCACTGCCCACCCACAGCGACCCCTCTAAGACAGGGTAGACCTGCCCCATGTGAGTTTCCAAGACTGGAACCCTCTTAGGAGTGGAGAGCCCCGTCTTTCTCCTGCAGAGCAGGCTGGTGATTTGGAAAGGCCGACCTTGTGGATCGAAGCCCGACATGTAACCAGTGTTCCCCCTGGGGCATATAGTAAACACGATTTAGAGGTGAGCATTTTGCTCCTGCCCAAGGCCACTTGGCGAGCAAACCGAATACTCACCCGCCAATGCTGACTTATATGGATGCTATAGGGAAGAAGGAAAAAAAGACGCTATAGGCCATGAGAACTGCCCCATGAGTTTCCCAGACTGCTACCTTTACAGTAGAAAGGCCTCATCTGCCTCCCTCAGAGCAGCTGGTGGTTTCGCAGGCCTGAGCTGTGGCCTGGGCTGCCAGCCTCCTCCATTCCTGGGTGTGTGGAGAGTGGGCGTGGCTACAGTGACCCCTCCTCCCGCAGGTGCACATGGGACTGTGCGTGCTGGGCATCGTGGGGATGGCGCTCACCAACTCTCTGATGTGGACGTTCTTCAGCCGGGGCCTCAGTTTCTCCATGTCTTCGGCCATCGCCTCGGTGACCGTGACGTTTTCAAACATCCTCAGCTCGGTGAGTAGCCCGTCCGCAGCCCAGGCTCCTGGAGGGAGGGAGAGCCCCTCACACATGGCCGGGGGGGACTTGCCCGGGACTCAACGCCTCAACTCCGCGTCTGTCCTGCAGGCGTTCCTGGGCTACGTGCTGTACGGGGAGTTCCAGGAGGTCCTGTGGTGGGGCGGCGTGTTCCTCATCCTCTGCGGACTCACCCTGATCCACAGGAAGCTCCCGCCCACCTGGAAGGCCCTCCCGCATAAGCTGCAGTAGACGGTGGGCAGACGGTGGGACGGGACGGAAGAATGAAGGACCAGCTGGAGGGAGAAGGGGCATCCGGGCTCCACCAGAGGAGGGGCTGGCCAGGCCGCCAGGCAGCCTGCTCTTGGGAGAAGCGGGGCTGCGGAAAGGGCCGGCGCGGCCACAGCAGTGCCCCGAGGGCCCCGGACACCCTGGAGTATCTGTCCTGTCCTGCTGGCACGGGAGCTGTGGCAGAGGCCGGTGGCCCAGGGCCAGTCTGCTTGTGGTGTGGCGCCTGAAGCCGCCGCCGTCATCGTCCTCATCACCATGTGGCTCTGCCAAGGCCAAAGTGGTGTGGCGCTCAGGTCCGTGACTGGTGGGGGCATGCACCCATGTCCCGGGCCAGGCCGGGCACCGAGTGTCACTGCAGCGTGAGAAGGAAGACGGGTGGATAATAAACACTGGGTGTTGTTTTTGATTCCGGGTGACCTGCTGTGGAATCTTCATTTCTCCCGCTCTGCACAGTGAGCGGCAGCCAGAGTGAGCTGGCGTCCCCAGTGTGTGTGGGGGACCGCCTCCTGGTGCACACAGCCCAGCCCCTACTTTCTCCTGCGCTCACAGCGGGCCAGAGCTCTGCACCGCTGCATGCGAGAGGGTCTGCCGAGAGGGTCTGCCGGCCCCCTCCGGGCTTACCAGTAGAGGAGGGGGACTTTGCTTGGGGGAACCTCGGTTCATCTTATTTTGCTTCTCAGGAAAGACACTGGCTGGAAAGATCATCCCTCTGCTCCCATCCTACACCTTTCTTCCTCCTTTAGGCCCAGGACGTTGTGCAGTTTCCTGCCACCCTGGTCACTTGGATTCTATCTGAGGCGCTATGTGTGTGCATGGATGTTCTCATTCTAAACTCTGTGCTGCTCCCTGCACACTCCTCCTCTCCCCTGGACGCCCATGGGTGCCTAGAGGGACCTAGCAGTTCTTTGCCCATTCGGCCCACCCTTGCCAGGGTTCCCTGCAGGTTGAGGGGCCAGCCAGCAGCAGTGGCTGAGGAGCAGGTCCTCTGGGCGTGGCTGCTTCCCCGCCACACTCAGGGGTCCGCTGTTGACGGTAGCCTTGCCTGAGGCCATGCTGTCATGTGAAGTTTCAATGACCACAGGCTCACCAGCCACTCTGGGGAGGAAGACGTCAGCTCCTGTCTGGGAAGCCTCTCATTGAATCCGCTCAACAGCAGTGGTCGCAGCTTCTATCTGGCACCGTTGATAGAGCTTTCCTGAGCCGGCTCCCCACCCTTCATCCCTGCTTCCGACCCCCCCCCCTTCTTCCCCTTTTTGTTTCGTTCCTTCGGCCGGCGGGTTCCCGGGCCCCCCTTGTTCTTCCTTGCTTTTGGGTTTTTGCCTTTTTTTTTTTTTTTTTTTGCTTTGGTTCCCTTCTCCCTCAACGCTCCCAGCAAACTCCTATTCCTCCGTCATAACCCCTGGGCACCATTTGCTGCTCTCTCTGAGCTCCCATCACAGCCCCACAAAGCTCTGATTGACAGGAGGTGAAAGATTAACCGAGTCTGACACACGGAAGTCCCCCAGCTCCCCCAGGAGGGAGGTGCTCTTGTTACTCGTCTCAGAGTTGAGGAAGCGTCCCTGCGTGGGGCAGAGCACTCAGCTACGAGCCCAAAGGTGTGCCCGGCTGTCTGCTGAACACCCTCCAGAGCAGTTCTCCTCTGCACATGGGTCCCCGCCAGTCCCAGCCAACTCAGCCACAGCAAGAGGCTCCTCTCGGTTTCTGTAACCGAGTGCGGAAGGCCACAGCTGGCGAGGGCAAGGCCACAGCGTGAGCCCGACAGGCTGAGTCCGGGCCCAGCTTTCACCCGTCCCCCAGCACCCCTACACTGCCCACCTTCCCACACCAGCACCTTGAGCCCTCTGGGAGGTCCTACTGGAGCAGAGGGCCTACCCACTTTGAAGGCACTGACCTTACACGCTAGGGTTGAACTGCCCCAGTGAGCTCCTAAGGCTGTTGATCTTCACGGGAACAAGAGAGCCTCCTATTCATCCCTCCAAGTGGATGGTGGATCCGAACTGCTGGCCTTGCTGTTAGCAGCCCAACACGTCACCCACTCCACCACAGGGCTCCTTTTGTGGGGGACATGTTTCTCCAAACAACCCATTCGCTGCCGCCCCCCCCCCGCCCCATCATGTCCTACCTCTGGGAGGAAGACTGCTGGGAGGAAGACTGCTGGTGGAGCACAGTGGGCCTCCCTGACCCAAGCCCACCCTGCCATTTCACCAGCGAGGAAGGTGGGGCCCGTTCAGAGGCCTGCAGGTTGTCACGTAAGTGGTCAGGCCCCCTGGCCAGTCAGTGCTGAGGGCTGAGAGAAGTCCGCTCAGAGCAGACTCTGTCACCAGCCAGATGCATCAAGGCAACCTGAGACGCAGCCACTCAAACGTAGGCAGAAGCTTTAGCCAGAGCCAGTGAGTCATTTTTCTGGAAGGGGAGAGAGAACTCTCGGGACGTCATTCTGTTGGCTCCAGGGCTGCGGTTCCACTCTGTGTCTCCCTCCTGGGACGGTGCTGCCTTTCCTGTTTTGACTTCTTTTTTAATAAACAATTCCATGGTTTGAAGACCCATTCACACAACAGTCACCTCGTCCAGAGCATTTCTGTCACCTCCAACCGAAACCCTGTGTGCTCGGTCGTCACTCCATGGCCCCTGGCGATCAGTGACCAACTTTGTTTCTGGGCCTCTGTCCTGGGCACCTCAGACACGGAACACCCCACCCCACCCCACAAGCCGATCCAAGGGGCCTGGCTGTGGCCTCTTGGCGTCCGGCCTTCAGGGGTCATCAGTGCTGCAGCCTCACTCTGGACTTCATGAGTTCCACTCCTCTGTGTGCTCCCCGCCCTTCCCTTCCCCCTCCTCCCTTAGGTTTGGGGCCTGGGTGTTTGTGAGGTTTTTTCCTTTTCTTATTCACCCTCGAACCTCGCAGTTCCTTCTTCTCCCCTGCACTTTATTTTTTAATTTTTTAATTTCAATTTTTAAAAGTTTTATTATTTAAAAAAAATAATTTTATTGGGGGCTCTTACAGCTCTTATAACATTCCATCCATCCATTGTATCAAGCACATTTATACATAGGCTGCCATCATCTGTTTTAAGACATTTTCTTTCTACTTGAGCCCTAGGTGTCAGCCAGTGTGGGGTTTTTTTAAGACATTTTCTAACGGTTTTATTGACATGTAAATCGCATACCATACAATTCAATGGTTTGGACATATTAAAAAGAGTGTGTGATGATAAGTATGTACATGGTAAATGCCGAGAAGAAATTGGCAGGGTCTTCGGGGGTTTCTGTAAACTCTGGGTTCACTTCAGGGGTTGGCTTGTTGTATTCTGTTTGCAGGTGATGGTGACCAGGGCAGCCATCGAGGAACCCAGATAGAATGTAAGAATTTTAGTGCTCTGCTTCTCGTCACCAAAGTCCAGACTGCACGAGTCAAGACTGGAAGTCTCCTGGAGAGTGTCGCCCCGAGGACCGTTTCTCTAGTAAACTGTGTGGGGACAGGTGAGTTCCTGAAGGCAACCAGCCGAAGCTAGATCCATACCTCACACCATGTACAAAATTTAACTCAACATGGATCAATCATCTGAAAAACCATCCAACTCTTAGAACAAAACATAGGGGCAACGTCTCTAAGGGTTGGATGATTTTTCAGATGGGCGCCTCCATGGGCCAGCCAGTGTCTCCGCTGGATTCATCCCCTGGAAGCTGCTGCGGGTGGTGGGGGTGAGGCTGCAGATAACCAATCACCTCTCCCTGTTTCTCAACACTGGAAGAGATGCAGTCGACGCTGACCTTGGACTCCCATGGGCATGGACAGACTACAATCGGTGACAAGCCTCTCACGGAAGGTTTTGTGGTTACAGCCATTCCAGACTCCAGTGAAATAGTTGCCTCTCAGATATTCGCATTTTTATGGTGGTGTTATGAGTTAGTTAATTGTGCCAGCCTGGCCGATAATCACATGTGGGGCCAATTGAAAGGCGGAGGGATAAATGGGTGGTGAGCCTCGCCTTTCGTGTTCTCGGGTCTCTTGTTTTCTGATGGTTGGATCAGGGTGCAGTTGCCTTAGCCAGTTCCCTGCTTCAGCTGGCAAGGTTGACTTCCTACAAGACATCCCCGAGGAGAAGCCGCATGGACTTATCCCGATGCAGCCCTGGGTGCTGGAGCAGCCGTGTGGAGACCCTTGCTAGTGCTGAGATGCTTACACATTCACTGACTCAGCTTTCCTCCTGCAGTCGGCATCATTGCCTCTGTTTTGTGAGGTGGAGGACTTTGTGGACTGGTGTTGGGTTAATGGGTTAATGTTGGACTTGTGGGCTTGGGCAGCATTGGGTTGGGATGTTTTCGTGATGCACATTTTCTTTACATAAAACTCTCTTATACATGAGTTTCTGTGGATTTGTTTCTCCAAAGTACCCAGACTAATACATGTTATTTGTTAGTTTTTTTAACGCAGGCCACTATTAATGTCAGTGACTCCAAATGCTGACACAGGTGATGAGGACGGAAACTATTCCTTCTGTGGACAGGAGCGGGTGCCTCTTGTGAGCAGGGATTGCCGTGGGGAACCTCGGCAGAAGGGAGCGGCTACAGTGACCTGCTCCGAAGCAACCAAGGGGTGATGTTGGGTGGATACCGGAATCTCATCTGTGAAACCAGCGTGAGGGTGGGGAAATCGTGGGCGACTCTGGGAGCTGGAGATCATGCCCAGCGAGTGCCGGCTGGCAGACACGGGCTCTGGGCCCTCACCTGGTGTACAGGCTGCACGCTCCCTGCCATATGCCACCGTAGACTCCAGGACAGTTATAGCTTTGTCCGGTGAAAAGCCCTTTACTGAAGATTCCCTGGCAAGTCCCCGATGCCGCTGCCTCTTGTGCCGATGGACCCAAGGGTGCGGCAGATACATAATGTCAAGAGAACCTGAAGAGATCGAGAGTGCAGGGGCTGGTATTCAACCTGTCAATCAGGTTGCAGACTAGGGTGCCTCCCGGTGGGCATGGCCTTCTCATAAGGAGGGTTCTGGGAACCTCACCTTCTCTCTTTCTCTGCCTTCCCCTCCCTGCTGATGGACCCTGGTTGCTGCGAGCCCTGTGATATGGCCACTGCCATTGGGGCCACAGGGCTTTGCACCCACCGGCCTGTGATCTCCCTGCATTCTGCATCATTGCATGTGGCTGCGTGAGACTGAAGAGGGACACATGGACTAGTTTTGTCTTACGGACTTGAGTGGGACTGGGCTGGCTGTCTGCTTGCTGTATAAGGACTCCTTGATATAAACTCTCTTACACATAGAGGCGCGTCTCTGCATGCGTTTCTCTAGTCAACCACCTGACACAAAGGGCACTGTCACAAAACCCTTCATGCCTGCAGCCCTGGCCTGTGGGAGGGCTTGTCAGTCCTAGATGTGGGGGGTTGTGGCCAACACCC